TACACAGCCCCCAATCTATACTGCAATTTCCAACCTCATTCGAGCCCTTTACGCGAAAATCGATATTTCCAACAGAAATTTTGGCGCAAGCCCCGCCCATCGGGTCGGCCCCGCCCACTACCGTATCCTTTTAAGCAACCGTACACGACCTGAGGGCAACTTCCTACCCATCCCAGACCAATACCCCAACTGTTTTATTGGGTCTGCTTAGCCTGCGTGCCTAGTGGTTACAAACAGACAAACACACAGACAAACATCCTTACTGCTTTATATATAGAAGGGATTACTGGATGATAGCACGCCCTCGAGCGTAAAAATGTAAGATTAATGAGTGGTCCACTAAATGGCATATCAGCCAATTCGCTGACCTTGAGGTGATTCGGACTGTGCATATGTCTAATCCATTGCTTATCTCCAACTGCGTCAACCATACACACCACATGATGAACCGTCTCCGCAACACTGTCCATACCTTTCAAGTCGATCCACTGTGGGAAATTCATGTACTTATCCTGAAAAAGACAGACACTGGTCTCTGACCAAAAATTGGCGCACTGAAAGCTCGTACTTACCGCAAACTGAGTAATATTTTGATTGTGAAGCGTTGCCGAACAAGCAATCACTTGCAAACGCATTCCGTTCGACGCACCGTAGGAACTCGTGACAGCAGTCGTTCAAGTTGTGGTTTGAATGACGAAAGAATCTGATCCTAAACCGAAAATGCCAGGTGTGCAGAGGGAAGAAGGATAAAAGTATTGCAGTTTTACGAAAAGTGACGAAAAACTTACAGCTTCATCAATAACAATGAAATTCAGCCCATTTGCGGATAACTTATGAGTTTCTATCATATCCAACACACGACCAACACCTCCTGTCACAATATCAACACCTCTATCAAGCTCGCTAAGCAGTTGTCCCATGCTAGCACCGGCAGCCAATGAGATGCTCCTAGAAAGATACTTATTATAGGTTACCAAACAGTGGAACAAAGGCTGTGTCTCAAAATCACATAGCCATGGAAGTTTGCAAAAGAAGGGGAACGAAAACGATTGTAAGCAAAAGGGAGTTACCGTATTTTTGGATCGCTGACGGTTCTTGAACTTGACGAGATTGTCGTGAGTTTGCTCTATCAAGTTCCTTGGTAGGTTCGAGCACAATGCAAACCGGTGCCGCAGCCTTGTCATTTTTGTCGCTTTCAGTTTCCAAGCCTCGCCATTCTGTAAGGGATGATGGTGCTTCACAAACGGCAATAACACCCTGAAACAGACTATTTAAGCTAGTAGTCTCCCGATTTTCGAGTAGCCGTATACATTCAGTCAGTTTTGACATAAAGCAACCTCTTTTGGAGGGAAAGCGAAAGGAGTTGCGCCAAAGTTAAGCTCCAGGGGAAGAATTCTGCACCAGCACGGCTGGATGCAATGCACAATGCGGACTGGAGAACTTTGTCTCCAATCGGAAGCGACTTCGAATTCTTTGGCCATTCTTTGACCACTGCTTAAAACATTTTAATAAAGGAGTTTGAAATCCATTACAATGTGTAATGGTACTTTCTCAGAATCTAAACTAACCACATCCTTCCATTGTCAAGCTTCCAAATAGCACCCATTACCATCACCAGTTGTAAAATGACTGCCATAAATCTTTCGAATTTGTTTGGTGCTCTTCTTACCAGTACCACCAAAACCAAAACTCTCGTCGTCAGTGCCTGTGAATCAAGTGCAGCTGTTTACCGCCAGAGAAATTGGTTTCCAATTTCCTCAAAACTATTCGGATGAAGGTTTACCTAAGTCCAGTGTCGCCTTCAACGTTGACCAACCGATACGACACAAGCCGTCACGCGTTATTTTGGCTTCATAATAATATTTGCCTGAGTGATGATTTTATTTATTTCAGTTTTTTCAGTGCTTTGAACAACGTTTTGCTCATCAAGCTTTACCTTTGGAATGTACACCTCCCATGCACCTCGAGCCATACCAAGCCTTTGGAACACGGCTTTCACACGACAAACCATCCCTGAGACAATGACAATCCCATGGCACGGTCGGCCAAGTTCAGTCGCCAACCAACGGCTAAACAGTGGAAATCATGACAAAAAAAATATTTGCAGCCCTTTCTTCGAAGGTGGCTTTCAACCTTAAATGCGCAGTGTGCAAAAAAAAACAAGTTTTTTCTATGAGCTGTCAAGATCTTCGTTATCCGCAAACATGAGAATGTGATCGGATCGAGAGCAGTTAGCTGTAACGATGCGTTCATTTATTCACAATTGCGCTTAGTATAAAAATGGTATTTTGGCAGATGGGGAGATTAGGAGATTCAGCTGCAAACTTTAGCTTCGTACTGATTAGGACAAGAAGAGAATGCACGAAATAGCAGTTTCAGTCAAACCAATCAATGTGTATCCAGAATTTTTTCAGCAGATTCATGTCAAAATTCTAATATTCAATCCCTCTAATCGGATCAATCGATTGCCTTTTAGCTGGACAGCTGGTTTTCAGACATCATCTGATCCTTAACTACGCCCTCATTCTGTCAATCAATTCACACATATTTTCATTGTCTTCTAGTCCCGTAACTTCCCAATACGTGGAATAAGAACGCGACCTAGGAATTATCTCAATAAATTCTATGATACATGCAACAAAAAGCAAAGCGAGACACGCTGTCGGCGTAATCCCAGCACGACTTGTCTTGGGCGCGGCACGAGCTAATCTAGACCAAGTATTGCGGGAGACAGCAATGGCTTCCCGTTTTTTTTGCTTTTCTTAATTTCCATGGTATTACCAGGAATCATTCATTTGTAGGCAAACCATTACAAGACCATGCAGCAGGTGGCTGACTTTAAATGTACACCTGGTAGAACCGTTTTCGACAAAACCGTTTACGAAACATTTGGTTTAATTTCGAGCTTCAATTCATTCAGGCGTTGCGTTTAAACATAAGAAGTTGGTACGGCGCCTATCATGCGGACAGAATAGCTTTCTAGAGTAAGTCCTACGGCCTTAAAGTTGACCATTACTTTTTACAAGGTTGTTGTAATCATGCGTATCGGGGGTTTTTCTAACATATGAAGTGGCAGCTAAGAGAAACTAGTAGATGTGTCGAAATCTATTGTAACCAAATTAAAACTGAATGGAAAAGGAACGTACAAGATTTTACGCCAGGACTCATTCCTTCTTTACGCCTTTCCCATACTATATTTTTGGAACCACTGGTATGGAGAGAAAGCTCCAGTCTTACCACTACCAGTTTCTGCGGCCTAAAATTAGCCACCATAGAAAAAGCTTCTATATAAGCGATAACCACAGAGCAGCTAGGAAAATCAGAGAAAGAAAAAAAACGAAAGTTTGACATGAACGCACTATGAGGACATCACCTCCGCCAAGAATGGCCGGAATCGCATCACATTGAATCGGGGTTGGTAACCTGAAATAAGGAAAAGCATGACCAAGAAAAAAACCGCTAAAATAACTGTTTTCGATTTTCTTCCATTTGTGAAAGTACACAAAGCGGATGTGAACACACATCGCAGTTACATCTCAGTAACAAGATCAGATCATACAAGATGGCTAATAACAATACCAGCTTCTTTGCTCTGCTATGTTATAGGTTGACAAACTCGAATAAATATGAAAAACAGTTTGAACATGACGCTATGTCGTGTGCACACACATAGACTCCCAGCTAGTGGGCTCAGGTTGAGGAGTAGTGGGTTGTCTGGAAGTCAGAGACCAGGGTTATTTGGATATCAACAAAATAATGGGAAGCCTGTTCATGAAATTGTTATCGTAGTTCTTACCAGTCTGTTGCTATCGTTCAGGTGCAGTGGGAAGCTGCCCACACCTAGACCAGCCAATCACTACTAGTAGATTGGACGAGCTGTCGGGCTGGCGCCCCTTGTGCCTCCCAGGGGGTGGAAGGGGTGGGAGGAGGTAGTTGTTGCATCATCTGTGGAAGCTGGTAGAGAGCTTAGCGGGGTTCGATTCTGGCTGGAGGCTGGGACGGAGATACCGTTTGTGACCGAGTTTTCTACACTCCCTCCCTCTCCCCCTCCTCCTCTCCAGTCAAACTCTGTAAAGTTTGTTAAGCCTATAGCAAATCTAGAGTGAAAAATTACATTTTCCGAGGCGAAAATGGAAGGGATTCCAAAAAATCAACTAAGCAAGAGACAGTAATGGTGCGTGCGACAGTATTAGAAAAGTTGCGCTATGCGCACATAGTAAAGAAACTTTTGTGCAGAAATGTTACTGGTTCAAAAAGTGCTTGGTTAATAAAAAAAAATTCAAACTAATAATGAATAACTAGTGGGAAAAACACTATAAAAATGAGACGTGTCTCCATCGGTTGAAATATCTTGCACGCACAGAGGAACAATTTCAAAACACAATCAAAAATTTTGAAACACTCACTCCCATCCGAGTTCAGATACCGCATCACCCAACTCAGGAATCACTCCCAACTCTTCGAAAGCCGTCATAGCGACCTGAACAAACCATAACACAAAAATAGAGCTAAATCAAACTGATGGAAATACAAATAGGAAGGTGATCCAATACAACATCTGAGAAATGACAGTATTGTATCGTTACGATCGAGAGGGCAACATGAGTGAAAGCCGAAGACCCTTTTTATTGCGAAGCGATTCAACTACTAAAACTTCAAAAACTTTTTCAAGCGAAAAACACATCCGTATTTGTTTAACATGAACATATATGATGACAAATCTGTAAGCAAAATCTGAACAAGAGGACAGGTCAAAAGAACGATGAACAATGTTAATACCACTTAATTGATTGCTCTTCTCCTTCTCATCTTTGAGTTACCCGAAAAACTAAGAACAAGAAAGTGAGAGTATGAATTATGCTCCGTTTCAAATTCATATGTGACATGAAGTAAAACAAAAATAAGACATCCTGCAAAAGACAAACATCCGACTGCTGTACATCTCAGGCTGTGCCGAGAGACACCGATTCTTTAAACTCCCACTAGCTTTCTTGCCCGTTCTGTGTCCGTATAAAAGCATTTAGCAATAAGTCACGATTTGAAAAAAGTAAGACGTCTCTTCTCGGCCATAATTTCGTCAGCCATCTTCTTGAGGTGTTCGTCTTCGATCTGCAAGCAGAATACTTAATGGAGCCCTCATCTAGCATTTTTTACACACTATGCACACTGTTTCCTTGCCAAGGTGAACCACAAATGAGAATTCTTCAGCAGGGGGCGTATTTCCTTTGGTAAAGAGAGGGAATATGCCGAATATGCCGATTGAGGCGCCTGCCTGAATTGGTGTGTGCTACGTAGTACCATGATTACCCAAGGGGGGAAGGCAGCACATGCATGGATCGTGAGGGAGTGAAATGGGTCAATTGGCATAATTTACTTTCAGACGTGGCACAAACTGGTTTCTCCTTATTCCCTATTCCCTTTACGATGCGATAATAATTGATTCTATACTGGGCAAATATAAACATGAAATACAAATTAAAATAAGACATATGCACAGATGCTGAATAATCCTACTATATATAATTCGCTAAGTATGTCTGTGTGTGTGTGTGTGTGTGTGTGTGTGTGTCTGTCTGTACGTACGTCCGTCTGTCACGAAATTCATAGCGCGCTTCGCTGCAGGCATGGAACGCTGTATTTTGAGTATGGTGTAGGGGGTGGGACGGCAACATATTTGGTGGGGTTTATAAAGTGATACCGACTGATAAGATCTGATAAGAGGCGCCAAAACGCCAATTTCATGATATTCATAGCGCGTGTCCCAGCAGTGGTGGGGCGTTGGTTCCAAGAAGTGATGTACAGGGTGGGACGGGAACATGTTCGGTGGGGTACAGGAAGTGATAAGGGCTGATAAGGGTTGATAAGAGGCGCTGAAAATGCAAATTTCACGAAATTCATAGCGCGCGTCCCAGCAGCAGTGGGGCGTTGGTTCCAAGAAGTGATGTACAGGGTGGGACGGGAACATGTTCGGTGGGGTACAGGAGGTGATAAGGGCCGATAATTACGGTATTTCGTGGGAACATATAGATCGCTTAAAACCGTGGTTCTAGATAACGCATTTCACTTCAGTATCATCTCATTGCGTTGTTGTCATCAACATAAAATACCGTTCGACCGCTATATTCCCAAAATCCCTAAGAATGTATGATGGATGTTTAGCGATATACGATAATGGGTATTTCTATTGCAAAATCATTGGCATCAATATTATTCGACCGCTAAATCATCCTGACATCCAATGGTGGCTGTTTACAGACACCACTTTAGCTCCGCACTCCACCGCGCGTATCAGACGGTTGGGTTAAAAATGGGCATTCTGTAGAAGGCCAGCTAACGCATTTCACGAAGCAAGTTATTGTTTAGCGGCGGAACCTAACGCTCCTCCGGCTGGCCAGCTTTACGGAGCCCTTCCGTGTCATGCACGCGGTAGTGTGCGGAGCTAAACTGGTAGATATGTATAACACAAATGAATTTTTATACTAATTGCGCAGCCGTTGTGGGGAGTCTGAACAGGCGCAGCCACACGCGCCGGCCAGCCAAAAAAGGCGCGGTACGCGGTGGGCTGGTATGCTCTGGCCTTCTTTTACAAAAGATAGGACCACAACGAGATGTCTCCGCCAAATTCTTTCATAATACAACCGTAGCACAATAATACTAAGGATAACCTGGGAATACCTTAATCTTGCGCAACATTCGAGTTCGTCGAGCTGTTGTATTGTCTGGCCGATGTCCTTTCGAAATTGAGGTTCCACCCTCGTCTGCCATAGTTGCTTTCTGACTTTAACCTAAGAAGTGTCTATGAAAATGAATAATACATCAATCACGCGAGTTTTATCCAATATTTCAATTACGAATGACCGATATGGTGACCCAAATTGGACGACTTCCTGGCTACATTAAACGCTAGACAGGTTCTATTACACTTATTCACATTACTATCATTACCCTGATTTCGAGAAAAAGTTGGAATAGACCAGTCAGTGACTACAATATAAGAATATGTAGATGGTACGAACCACTACGAGATGAAAAACTAAACGATTTGAAACCGGCTTTATCCATACACGATTCCGATAAAACATCACACCCAACGCTGAGATATGGTAGACGCGTTATTACAAACAGCCTGTGGTTCTTAAACTTATCATAATCTAGAAAAAATGAGATCTTTAACATATAGAAATAATTCCATCGAACCTATCAACATAGGAGAAAACAACGGTTCTGAGCACGAGAAGTAAGCCGTCATATAGTTTATGTAATTGTAGACGATTTGCTACATAATTCGTTGCCATTATAACGATGCATAAAAGGCTCAAACCTAATCCAAAACTATCTCATTTTGCAACGTCTCGCGACTAACGGCTACATCATTCAGCTTCCTTTTTCTGCTTGATTTCGCGGTTATATCGCAATTACTTTTCATGCACTTCATGATAATTGTAGACTGCTTTGCTCCTTTGGGGCCGCTGACGATGTAACTAAAAGACGCAGTTTAAATAAATGGAAAATCACTGGCATAAGATTAGATACAGGTAAGAATCTGATGCGTGGAGGGCCTCCAAGCCTTTTTTGCGACCATTCCTTCAGGGAAAGTCAGCCAGCGCCGAAGTTACCAAATAAGGCATCAATTTCCCATCCACGACCAACACAAAACATGTTTGAAAAGCATTAGTTTTAATAGGGAACAGGTCAGACAATCCTGAGTGTGATTCAAATAGAGCATCGTAGAGAAGGTAGCGACGTCTTTTGCGACCTCAAGACAGTGAACCTACTTTCTGACCGCTTTGGCCGATGTCAAGCTTTGTGAGTCTACTGATTCGCCCGCGGGGTACGAGCGTTCACTGTCTGTCCAGCGAATCGAGCTGTGTTCCAGCAGGACGAACTATGTAGGTGTGGGAAAGTGGCGAGAGTCAACATGCAAACGAGAGGGAGTTTCGCCACTTTCAAACAGTGTTGAGTCGCTTTTACATCGTTCAAACCACTCGCACATGGTATGATCCGCTGATGCACAGCTCGCTTTCGCGGCCCGGTGGGAGCAGGGTCGGTCCTACGTTGCTACAAGTAGCAACGGGGGGTCGTACTTTGATGAGTTTTTAGAGGGGGGTCGTACATTTTGATGAGTTTGTAGAGGGGGGTCGTATATTTTGATGAGGTTGTAGAGGGGGGGTCGTACTTGCTTCGATTGTGAGAAGTTGCATGAGGTGAGGGAGGAGTGGCGCGGGTGCGGTGAGAAAATAACCGCGGGAAAGTGGGGTAAATTGGGTGGAAATTTAGGGAATTTTGGGTAATTTTTACGGTTTCAGAGTGACTATATACCCCCCCCCCCGCTCGACGGCATTTTTGGAGGAAAAAGTGGGCGGAGTTTTCGTGGGTCGAGTGATACCAGAATGAAATACTATAGCGAGGAATATGGTGGTCGAGGGTCGAGAAGGGGGGTCGTACCAAATCCACCTTTTGGGAGGGGGGTCGTAAAATTTTTCGAAAAGTAGCAACGATAGGACCGACCCTGAGTGCAAGCCTCGTATCCAGCGATGTCGCTGAACGCACAATGGTCTGACATCGCCTTTGACATGTCGGCGCATTTCAAATGAGGAGTAGATGTATGACGATCATGCGATCTTCGGTCATATGATCGCACGATCGATATTTATCTGCTCCACATAGGATCGAAAAGCTACAAGGTCGCAAAACATAACCGCAGCCTAACGTTTGTGTTCAGGCATCAACATCGGACAAATATAAAACTTAAATGATCGGTACAGAAGAGCTCTACTGGAACAAAAGCGACACTAACTGATTTTAAAGGTGAAGAATTTGTTTGGGTTAATTAAAGAAAAGCATGCAACACAGGAATATATCCCCACCTGTGGATTGCATACGGTGTAAAGTGGAAATCCTGCTTGAGGTAGCCGTTTAGTAGAGCATGACATAGAGCTCTTTCAACTATAGGCTGAAAAGTATACTACATATTAAAAGGAAAGATATAGAGAATACAAGCCGACGTCACTCTACCGCATACCTTGGATCCTAGCCGCTTAGTCGTCAGTTCAACAAGTTTGGCGCCAGTGATGCGATTAGAACCGCGGTCGTTGGTTTTTTGCTAAATCAGTGAGTTTTTCGATTCATCTGCCCAACAACTACCGAACTTCGACTCCCAAAAAAGATTCGTAACATTCACCAACCTCTCCAATTATTTCAAGCATAGTAGAAACAATATTTGTAATATCCATATCCGTTATCTCAGATGAATTTGCGCACACATCACATGCTTTTGGACAAAGCTCGCTTTTCCATTTTCTCCTCGAAATGACTTGCTAAATGCTTGCGGCGACACTCTCCAGGCTAAAACACTCATAACTACCGTAAGTATAACAAAATGAGAAAATTTAGTCGAGATTACTGACCGTGGTTGCGTAACGGACCATTGAATATAGATTTCTGAGACCGGTTTTTTCTGTACAGACCATCGTGCTTTGCCGGAATACATCCGACAAACGGAAATACAGAATACAAACAGCAGGGAGTCCATCACGACCAGCACGTCCACTTTCCTGAAAGCGAAGCTAATATTGAACTAACTATGCTCTGCCAATAGTTAAATCTAACTGTGCATCTTCAAAAAAAAAGGACCTGGAAGTAGTTCTCGACAGATTTTGGTAGTGCATGGTGTATGACGTAACGCACATCAGGTTTGTCGATACCCATTCCTGGAGAACGAATAAAAAATAGGTGGAAAATAACAGCAAAATTCTTGGGATTTTCTTAGGTCAAGAACATGAGTACCACCAATTTCAATCTCCACCACCTCTCTCTGCTTCGGGCTGGGGGAACAACGAAGAAGGAGTCTAGCATATTTTTAACTACCATAACGCATATCGAGGGGAGGGGGCAAAAGCCATCTTGTTCATGTCGCACACCAGCCTTTGTTTCGCCACACAGATTGCCGCTGTTGATGGAGATCTTCCAACACAATATTTCTGGAAGGACTATCCATGAGCAGACGCAAGCCCTCCTTCACTCTCCTCACCGCCTTCAGAACATGACGTCGCCAGCCTTCTTTGCTGAGCTCAAGAAGATCTACCGTCCTTAGCCCCATGCACAATGTTTCGTAGCAGATTCTTCTGAGTGTCCGTGTAGGAGGCCATGATGATGTGTTTCTTGAAAAGCCCTTTCAATTTCAAGCTGAGAAAATTCGCGTCGAGTTTAGCAGAACCGATGGAGTCCTAAATAGGGGAGACATTTTTTCATTGCACCCCTCCCCCTCTTCCCTCCTCCACTTGTATAATATCTTGTATCTCACTGAATACTCTACCCCTTTACCTAAGACGTGTTGAAGGCCTAATTTTTACGCTCGAATCAAACCAATAGTACTCATATGTTTAAGTATGAGGTTTACAAATCTTATGTGAGAGAACTTACCGAAGGCTACTGTAGCTATGATCACGTTATACTTGCCGCTGACCCACTTCTCATGAACAGCTGTACGTCGAGACGAGTCCATGTCAGCATGATAGAAAGCAGCGCGAATACCGGATTCCCTGCAGTGCACACGTAACGGATTTCAGCAGAAAAAAGCTGCAGTTCCTGCGGCAAACTGACTTAGCAAGATTCACCTTTAAGCAGTAGCTAACCTCACATATTTATGTATCACATTACTCCTAAGCTGTGTGGAAAATTGAGGGCATACCTACCGGAGCCGTGCTGCCACTTCTTCACAGTCCTTTCTTGAGAAACAGTACACAATACCCGATTGATTCGAAAACCTAGAGAATTAAACTTATTTCAGCTACATTATCGTTACAACAATTGGGGATCATACCTAGCTTTGATAAGACTGGCGAGCTCTGCAGTGATATCGCCATCCGGTTTCTGTATTACCTCGTAATGTAAGTTCACCCTATTAAAACCTGCCTTGAAAACCACAGCATCTGAAATGAATCGATTTGAAGGCAGAATTGACGATGAAAAGTAGCTCATTGGAAATAAGGGTAGAGGTGGTCAGTGGAGCAGGGATGAAGAAGAAACCATTTGAAACGGCCCGAAACCCGAGAAATGGGACCCCTTCCTTGCCCGTTGATTTGCGCATTGATGCGACTCTCATCGCTGTGCCCTCTTCAACACTACGCTCTCTCTGCTATCTAATCACTCGCCACGTATAGACCTGCGGCGAGTGATTAGATAGTCGGTGGGCGTACCCCGCCAACCGCGCCAAGAGTGAGCCATGCTAGATCGCCGAGGTCAAATCTTTTCGCTGCCAATTGCGCGTCGGTCAACACCTTCAAGAGGTTCCGCCTCTCTCTTCAACTATGCAATTTTCCCCTTCTCTGACCTTCGCTCTTATCGTGGATCCTCCTTTAGGGTTCTAACTAGAGTTTCGAATGAATTGAATTCGAGTGTAAAATTTCCGAAAACATAAAACAAACTTACTTGGAATATCAAGCATATTTTTAACATCAGAGAGGACGTTCGCAGTGGCCGTTGCTGTCAACCCAAGCAATGGAACATTCGGAAACTGGCGCTTAAGTATGTTGTATGTTCAAAAACTTGTAATCTGGCCGGAAATCGTGACCCCATTGAGAACAGCAATGCACTTCGTCGATGGCGAATACCTGAATAATCAACTAAATCAATTCGACATTTACTAAATTTCAGTTATACTTCTGTGCGATGACAGGCGGGCTCACTCCGAGTTATTGGAAACCCAAACCTAAATGGACTATGTTAATTTCTTTTTTGGACATGAAGGCGAAGTGACAGAAGTCTGAAGACGACACACAGCGGCCGTCGTGATGGCAACATTCACAGAAATTCGATCGATTCCCCTCGTACCCGGCAAGGGTGGCCGCGCTCCTTATTAGAAACCACCGGCGCTCGACTTTTGGAAAAGCGGAGACGTAGTTGCTCATATATTCACACCCATTAAACCCTTGAGAGATTGCTCTACGTAGGCAGGTCACCTTCCAGAGCAAGGGGAATCTATGAATTTCTGGGATTGCATCAACGGAAGGCCCTGGTGTCGCCTTCAAAGTTGGGTGCGAAGCGTTTCTCTACCTGGGGTCAGTTTACCTAAAGTTGACGCCGTTCATTCACTCGGAGCAGGCTTAGGACTAAAGCTTGGGGCTACAATCACTAAGCTTTAGGTGACGCAATGGTGTAAGCATAGCCTTACCTGAGCCATGAACCCAGAACTTCACCTTAAGATTCAATGATCTGCGCAACTGTGCTGACCATGACTCCATGGTAGGAGATAAACGCACGTTCTCCGGGGAGGAGAGGAGCGTAGGGGTAATGGTGCCGAGAAGAAACGGCAAATCTTCTTGACCATGCCCCTGTCATGCTCCTTTCACGATGTTTTCAAATTCCTCAGGAAACCCATCAGTACGACCCCTTTAAAACGCGACCCCACCAAATTCTACAAATAGAACCCCGCCCTTTACGATGTTTTCACCTAGACCCAAACACGACCCGAACTCCAAAACCTCAAATATGACCCCGCCGACAACTAGCAACGAAAGACCGACCTCGGACGAGACATCCAATGAAAACAGTACACAAACAAACACCTTCAATGCTCCAACTTCTGCTGACTTCTCCAACTTGTTCATCAATCTTTTGCTTTTTGCCAGTTTTTCAGGTGTAATGTATAGAAGGCGGAGAGCAGAATTTTTCTGGACGAGTTGGGCTTCTATTCGCTTCACCTGGAACAGCACAAGTTGAACCACTGAAGAAATTGCAATGCCACGGCGAAATACGATACTCTTACGTCCTCCTTAGATGTTGATTGATTCAAAGCTGCTCCTTCGATGCCAAGCTTCCGAAGACCAGCAAGTTGGTCCTCGATCAAAGATATCAGAGGAGAAATCACTACGATAAGACCTATAGAACAAATGTTCAGGATAAGCCCTTCAACAAAAGAGGAAAACGCAATAAATAGCAACGCAATTCATACCTTTCAAGGCAATGGATGGAAGCTGGTAACACAAACTTTTTCCAGCTCCTGTACTCATAACAACCAATGTGTCCAACTCTGACATAATAGCATTGATGGCTTCTCGTTGCAAAGGTCGAAAAGAGCGCAAATGAAAGACCTATAAAAATAGTCTGAATACACAGTAGGTCTACGGAGTCTAGACGCCATGATTCGGCACAGCGCGCCTTTGGCAGCACGCTAATACCACATCCTGTAGCAATCTCTCGAGAGATTATGTTTCCAGTTCCGTGCAGATGTACACAAACAACTTCCACTACCCTCAATTTCTTTAGTTCTAGCTATTTTCTGAACTGTTCGAATATAGAGGCGTGCAAGCCAATAGATGTGGTAACACAAGTGACTGATGGTTGTATTCCACAGAATACCACCTCTCCTCCCGAACTGCGTGTGGGCAGAGTCAACCCTGCGTTGCGCAGTTCTCAACGGCCACGTTGCGCAGTTTCGCCCGATTAGACACGTTCTCTCGCGCGAACATTCACACTCGCATGCTCGAGCCGTCTGTGTCTCCGCCCATACAGCGTGCGTTGAGGATCTCTCAACGCCGTTGACTCTGCGT